ATCATCTGAAGTCTGTTGCCGTTTGGACGATTTTCCATTGAGTTAACACAACACCGTGTGTCTATGGCGAGGATTATCGCCATGGCAAACCGTCAGTATGATGAACACCCATAATGGAGTTAGGCCTGTTAGGGCCTGACCGTTCACCCATCATATGGAAGTGTGGTGCCGTTTTGGAACGGATTTCCATTGAGTAACAGAACATCGGGTATTTTGGTGTGAGGGATTCGTTTTGCATGGCACAGCTTTTGGAGGAAAACTCACATTGTTGACATGAGGTGTTGAGGGCCGGACCAATTTAACTGTGATTGAGTCTGGTTGCCGTTTGACTTTCCATTGAGTTAAGACAACATGGGTTTTATGGAGCGGGATGGGTTCCTGGAACGCAAATGATGAAATCCCATAATTGGCCATAGGAAGCTGTTTAGGCCTGACCATCAACCCATCATATGGAAGTTCTTGTGCTTGGGACGATTTTCCATTGAATTACGACAATAGGAGTGTATGGCGAAGGAATGCGTTGCCATGGAAAACCGGCATACGATGACCATTCCATAATTGCATAGAGCTGTTAGGGCCTGACCATCACCCCCGGAGATATGAAGTCTGGTGCCGTTTGGACGATTTTCCATTGAGTTACAGAACATCGTTGTTTTTGGCGCAGGATCGTTGCCATGAAACGGCATACGAGATGATCTCAGATTCATGTTAGAGCTGTTGAGGGCATTCACCCGGGGTGATATAAAATGTGAAAGATTGGAGGGGACGATGGGGACCGTGTCCATTGGAGTTTACAGCCCGAACACCGTGTGTTATGCGAGGGATCCGTTGCCATGGTAACGCCATATTAATAACATCGGATTTGACGTAGAGCCTGTTCAGTGGCCGCAGCAGTGTTAATCATCACTGTGAAGTTTGTGGCCGTTCTGAGCATGTCAAGTTTGAATTATGACATAATCGTGTTCCATGCGCGGGGATGGCCTAGCAGTCGAGGCGAACGCTTCATGGAAACGCATAGAGACATGCCCATAGATGCAATAGAGCTGTTGAGGGCCGGAACATTAACGATAAGTCTGACGTCTGCGCCGTTTGGACGATTTTCCCTTGAATTACGACTCACACTAATTGTTTTCATGGGCGAGGGACATGATGACATGACACATGCATGACACATGACCATTATGGATATCTGAAGTGTGGTGCCGTTTGGACGATTCTTCCATTGACATTACGACAACAGGGTAGTTTTTTGGCGAAGGATGCGTTGCCATGGAACGGATATGGTGAGATTTCGATTTCCGTAGAGCTGTCTGAGGCATGGACAGTGATATAAAAGTGAGTTTGGGGGGAACAAATGAACCGTGGTCCATTGGGTTACAGCAGCCCGTGTTTTATGTCGAAGGATCCGTTGCCCTGGTAAGCCAAAATAAGTAACATAGAGTCGACCTTGAGCTGTTCAGCCGCCGCAGTGTTAATCAATCACTGTGAAGTTAGGTGGCGTCTGAGCGTCAGTTTTGAGTTATGACATCATCGTGTTCTATGGCGACCGGGACGCTAGCATTCCGCAGCGAAAGCAAACTTGGCCAATCACGGCTATGCGTCTCGAAAGAAAAAAGATTCCGTGATAATTTAAATGTGCCCATGTCTCAAAGAAGCTACCGACGAATTTCGAGTCGTAGTATAAAGTCCCAAGACAAGATAGTTTTGTACGGAGGACGAAAAACGAGATAAACGCGTTTTCACAACACGTCCAATTCAATGGCGACTTGCTGTACGTTATTTTATACCCTCCAAGATGCTTTTTTGCTCGCTCCGCACACTAATATGCGTAGCGATTTGTTGCCGTGAAAGTTAAAGGAGGGGGAAGTTAACGTTACGGAAGTGGGGGCGTGGTCTACGCAATTTTTTACAAAGTTCCGGTACCAACTACACATGGCTATTTTCACGACCTTGTGATAGCGCATGCGAAATTTGGTGAGTTTTTCACATATGTTGGGGGGTCAAAAGTGCGCGCAATGTATTCAAATAAAATCAGAAGATAATAATAATAAAAAAAAAAACAATTTGAATAAAAAAAAAAAAAAAAAATTAATAAAAAATAAATAATAATGAATATATATTAATAACTAAATAATAATAATAAATAATAATAATAAATAATGATAATAAAAAAATATAAAAAATATAATATAAATAAGTATAATAAATAAAATAATAATAATAAAATAATAAATACTAATATAATAATAGGGAAATAAATAATAATTAAATAATATATAATAATAATAATAATAATATAAAATAAATAATATAATAATAATAAAAAATAATAATAATAAATATATAATAATAATATAATAATAATATAATAAAATAAAAAATATAATACATACAAAAAATATAATAAATATATAATAATAATATATACATAATATAAAATAATAATAATACATTAATAATAATAAATAATAATAATAATAATTAATACATAATAAAATAAATAATAATATACATACATAAATTAATATAATAATAACAAAAAAAATATATAAAAAATAATAATATCAATAATAATAATAATATAATAATAATAATGACAATAGAAATAATAATAATAATAATAATAATAATAATATAATAATATACTAAATAATAATATAAATAGATAAAAATAATAATATAATAATATAATAAATAATAATAATCGCGGACCGATACAATATGTTTATGACGGCCTAGGATGGCGTGGGCTGACCTTTCTGTCATGATTAGGCCGCTTTTGCACGTCTTTTGTCTGTTTTGTGTGGGTTTTGCATGGTTTATCGCTCGCCGTGCGAGCGACTAAATGATCTAAACCGATATCAATAATCGAGTTGCGTCGCCCACGTGACTGGGTCACGCGCTATCCACTCCGTCATGATTTTCCGAACCTTTCTGTGCTTTTGGGTCGTTCCTGTTTTGTGTGATGTTTCGCGGTAGTCGGTCGCCCTGCGCGACCGATTTCATAGGGTCCTTCGCCGACTAGGTCTCAGACCCTAAGAATCGGACCGATATCAATCATGTTTATGGACGAGTCACACTGGGCGCTCGCGCCCATGTGATCGGCCATGACTTGGCGTGGGCTACCTATGTCATGGATTTGAGGCCCACTTATTGCCCGTCTTTTGCCTGTTTTGTGTGGGTTTTGATATGTATCCGATCGCATTGGAGGACTAAATTGTCACCGATATCAAGACATGCGAGTTGCAGTCCGTGGGCTTCGCCCACCACTTGAAAACTTAAACTTAAGGCTTTTAACAACGGACGTATTTTTCTTAGCGGCATGCATGTCAATTTAATCATACTCACAACATTCTTTTAATCAATACAATATTTTTTAAATCAATAAAAACATTTTAATCCACTAAAATAATCTAAATTAATCCTTGGGAGTCATGTCGTTACTCTTGTTGAGATATCGTGGCCTGTAAAAGCCGGTAATTGGCGCGACTTGCTTTGATGGGGAAAATAACACCTTCATTGTGTTTGTAGAGGTTGTGGGTTAAATACTTTCATGAGTGAAGGGGTTTCCTTCTATAAAACAGCTGTGGGCAGCAGTGAGTGTACACGGACTCATGAATCCTCATAAGATCGAAAGACAGACTGGTGCACACATCTCCTGTCACTGCGGGCGACACGCCCGTTTCTACAAGCGCTGTCCTCACTCTCACATCCAAAGCTGCATCCCCACAAGTGTATTATGGTTCAAGTCGATTTCAGTAGTTATGTTTCAGGTTGTGCTCGTCTAATGGTCCCAGTGGGATGCAGAACTGTGGTTGTTTTGAATTGTTAGAAATTAAATCAATGTTTGATTATGGCAGTAATTTGATTAATTACACTATTTGATTTAATCGTTTTATTTGAATAAACCTCGGAAATCTCACTATTAGTGTATTAACACAGTTTTATTCTGAAATATTCTCACTCGGTTAGCATATAGCATCTGACGGAATCATACGATTTCGAACCTTGAACCAAGGGAAATGATGTCGATGTTGTACACTGAGCACACTGTGATTACAGCAACTCTCGCATTTACCTTGACNCCCGTCTTTTGCCCTGTTTTGTGTGGGTTTTGCATGGTTATCGCTCGCATTGCGAGCGACTAAATTGATCCTACCGATATCAATCATGCGAGTTGCGGCCTATCACCCGTCATGATTTCCGAACCTTTTCTGTGCTTTTGCCGGTCGTTTTCCCTGTTTTGTGTGTGTTTCGCAGGTTTATCGGTCGCTGCGCTGGTTCTGGTAAACCGACCTTATTACTTAATGGATCTCAAATTCCAATTGTATCAATAGTTGTTGTTTATAAACCATCCGTCAATATAGTATTGATTATTGTTCACTTAATATAGGCCAAGGTTAAATATAACCTCCTACACGCACCACTGGTTCTACAGATTTGATGCAGTGTTTATTTATAGTCTGTGTATGACTGTGACCTCTGCTGCAGAGGTGAAGTGTTACAATTACTCATTTGAGATGAGAAGTCCTTGTGAGCGCATCCAATATATTTTGTTATTTCCTCAGAAATCAATGATTTTTTTTGTCTTTCACAGAACCATTTTTCTAACTAAAGCTATCCTATTGATGTAATGGCATTATTCTTTATGTCCACTTTTGTATAGAACATAACGCAGGGTAAAGTGTTTGCCTGTATGCTATGCAAAGCCATATGTGTCATCCTAGCTCAGTTCAACAATTTCACACCATTAGAATGTATTAGAGTCACATAAAGAAAGTTGCTTGAATCATTTGTAAAAGCTACTATTCTTGATAATTGACACCCAAAAGATATATGGAAATTAGATTGCCAAGTTCTGGCCCCTAAATTGTAAATGTTCGTGTGAACGATAACATTTCATAGAATCAGCCCAATTTGGTTCAGTCTTGCCCTTATCCTTGAAATGGCTCTTTATTCCTTCAATACTTAACTAAAGCATTCTCTTTGTTCCTCTGCAGATGAGTCTCTCTTGGACTCCACACAACAACCTATGGGATTTCTTGGACATGTTCCAAGTTCAACAGGGTTCCAACCATTGGCATTACCCGCCTCACATCACACTGCCTTTGAGAGCCCAGGCTCACCTGGTACACTGCCACCCATTTCTGAACCAAACCATGAAGTTAGAACTGGTGGAGTGTCACGTTTTCAGTGGGGACGTATTGCTTCTGAGAAATCCTTCACAGCAAGTGACCTCATTGCAAAGGAACCACACCCTCTTTCCAGTCCCTCATTAAGCCCCTCTGAACCCGTATTAGGGTCTAGTCCGAAATTTGAATCACCAGCTAAACTCTCTTCGGACAGGAAGCTGGCCAGCACAAAGTCGGCCAAACAATCCTCCTCTCTCGCTCAGCCTCAGTCGAATATATCCACAGCGTCATTAAGCCCCTCTGCTCTCACGAGGTCGACACCACCTCAGCTCGGTCTTAATTCCAAGCAGAAAGAAACCTTCAGCAAGCAGCAAGATGGTCCATCAGAGCAAACACTGGAAATCATGACCTCATTTCCTGCTCAGCCTCTCGAGCCCCTTAAAATTGCCTTCCCTGACTTTGTGGCAGACGATAGTAAAATACTGGATGTGAACCAGCTGAGCCCCAGTAGTTCCCCCTTAGAGGATAGCGGACCGACACGTGACATTAACACGCTACCCAACCCAGATCAGGTTCTGGCCCCCGGCTACAATGTGCCTTTCATCGCCCCACACCTTGCGTCTCCTTCATCTGAACCCACTGACATCTCTCCGGAGGAATTCTACCCCACCAACACCATGGACTTCGACTGGGGGTCTGGGGACTACTTGGAGACGATGTCATACCTAAACGCAGATGGGGAGGACTACGCTCTGGTCACCAAGGTGCCCGCTGACTCGTATGATCTAGAGGACTACACAGAAAGCTATGACACATCGTTTCCTTCAAGAGTCGGCATATTTCCTTCGTCCTTGAATCCTCTTCACGTCTCACCATCGTCCAGCTTCACGACAGCGTACCATACCATTGTCCCATTTAAATCCATACATCCTTCTTCTTCGTCCTCTACAATTCAAGACACACTGGACCCTACTCCTTCCGCAAACAGCGATATACCCGACGCATCAAACGTAGATTGGGGCGATACTTTCACGATTCAACCGACAGATGTCCTGTTGCCCGACATGAACAGCTTGGAGTATTACACCACTCAGTTGACCAAGGAGAACAGTTCAGACGCGGGAGATGAACACAAAGGGAACGTTACCGTGGTTTCCATCAGCCCTACCGAACTCACACCCACAAGCAGCATCACCAATGATACCAAATTAACTGAGGATGAGTTCTCTGGTGATCTGTCAGGATTTGAGCCTCAAAATGACTCAACCCCAGCACCAACCACAGAGCAGAGTCCTCAGCTGGTCAATGCCTCTGAGCCGTTTCTAGATCCTTCCATAACCCCAAGCCACTACTTTGATCCCTCTTTGGTCTGGGGTGGCGAGTCTACCACCGTTTGGCCTGCACAATCTCCAACTGTTGGCCTAACAGAATCCATGTTACCGAGTACAACGCCTCTGCTGACAGATGATGTAATGTCTCCCTCCTCTCTGACAGATGTCCATTGGTTTGTTACAGAGCCGTACCCATCAGAAACCATTAACACCAGTTTTGTCTTAACTGCAACTATAGCCTTCTCCCCTGTTCCCACTGACCCTGCTGCCAACACTACAGAGGGTACAACAGAATTAACTCCCCAAGACTCTCCTTTTACAACCGAACAAACTCTCAACATCACGTTAGAGTCAACTGAACCCACACCCAATGTCACTTTCGTCCCTCCAGTCCTGTTGGGGGATCAGGGGGTGACTGAAAATGGAGTTGACATCACAGCCACAATGACCTTGATCCCAACTAGCAGTGAAGCTAATACAGTCTCTGCTGCACCCACGACCCCAACTGCCACCATTACTTCCCATCAAGCCTCGACTGGAGATCCTGCCACCACAGAAGCCTCAACCAGTGTCAACATCCCTTCTATCACCACAAAGGCCCCAACTACAACACCAACATCTCGACAGTATCTCTGCAACCTTGAGAGGCCTGCTTATTTAGTTAAAATTGGTACGTTGGACTTTTAATTATGCTTTCTGTTATATTACAATATTGTATTTGTGTAATCCACATGTATGATGAGTCCAAATGTTTGCGGAAATCTGTTATTTGGATTTGAAATGTACATTTGTTATAAATTGTAATGGGATTGTACCATGCTTATACTTTCTTCTAAAGGTTTCCCTTTCGGGGCCACAGTTGGATATGCCAAATCTCAAGTGAGAGACATACTGAAAGGGGAATTCAACAAGTCTGTAGAGCTGCAGGTAAATCTATCTTAAGAGAACATTTCAATTTTATTTTAATATAATACCATGCAATATGTTAGTTTTTGTTTGTCAATTAAAAAAGACATGAAAAAGCAACATAGGCACATTATAATGTAAAAGAGATCATATTAGAAACCAAAATGCTTCTGGATTGACTGTGGAGTAAAGGCCCTAACATGTGTGTAAGTGTATGTGTGTTTACATTACAGCGGTGCAGTTGAACCACTAAGGCAGACCACTTCCTGAGTTTTTTTATCAGTGGTTCTGTGATAAAAAACATCAAGTTCCACAAGCACACAATGACCTCTCAAAAACATCAGCTGCTTATGTAACACATGTAGGTTGACTGAATGACTGACTGACTGATTTGTCTATGTCATTTTTTCCTGCTTTGTCTGTGGAGGTTGTGGACCCCCCACCAAAGTTTGTGTTTCGGGTGGTTTCTGGTCCTGTTGTGTACACAGCCATATCTGTCATCAACGCTCTGCGAAGGTCTGGGCGCCGCTTCCTGTCTGTGTCTCCCAACTGGGCGACACCAGACAGTAAATACCAAGTCCACACAGGTAAATGACCTTCTAACAAGCTGCCTTTAGTTGTCTGTTGTTTTTAAGCTTGAACTTGATCTAAACTCTCCTTTTCCCATCTCTGTGCAGTGCTGCAGTTTGTTCCTGCTCCCATAGATGTGCGCTACTGCAACTTCAGCGAAAGCATTGAGAAAGGCTTGACCATGGCCTTTGCAGAAATGCGGCGGCGCTCAAAGGAGTCAACCAACTTCACAGTGCACGTGAGTGAATATGCACCTTAATTAACATGGGGCAGTTATTTATTTATGTTTATTTAATTTAAGCATTTCAAGGATGTCACCACTCTAGCACAAAAAAAATAGTGAAGTTTAAAAAAAATTTTAACCGAACTCCTGTTCACTCCCAGCGCTTATCTCAGCATATTATAACTCTGTAATTTTAACAATCTTAGCCAGGTCACTTAGAAAAAAGATTTTAAATCTCAGTCTCAGTCTGTCACTAAATAGAATGACAAACTATTACTAAAGCTTTTGGATTTAAGCGAGTTATTGGTTGCAAAAGCAAGAGAAAGCGTATATATTGTGATATTGTCTGAATTATTTTGTTTGGTTTGACAAAATCTGATCAATGCACAAAATATCCATCCATACCGGCATGGTAAGAAAAGTAGCCCAATTATCATGCTCCCCATTGTATTTGCTGGTTCTCTCTATCTGTTCTCATCCTGATATCATGCCTAGAGCGCCTCATTGGACTCCTTCCAACACAAAAGAGAGGCTTTTTCACTTTCAGACACCACACATAGGATACTCATTTTTTACAAGCTTTATCCACAACCTCAGTTGTTGGTCCCTACACAGATGTAATAACCACAGGCTAGGGTTCAGGCACCTTCAAACTCAGCTCTTTCTCTACTTTACATTTTCCACACCAGTGATTCTCAATCTTAGTATTACTCATGAACAAACCTCCTGGATACTTCACTAGGATACTCATACTCTAAGGAGTGCATGCTCTAGTTGTTGAGTATTAAGGAAGCTTACTGTTTGCTAATAAAGAGCTTATTTGGCTATGTGGTTAGCTGGTTTCAATAGAGTTCTGGGTAATCCTATTTCACTGATGCCTCAGTTACCGTCTTTTCTTTTTCAAACTGTACCCCAAAGCCACACTGCTCAATCTTCTATTCAACTCTTCGATCACAGAAGCCAATCCTTCCAAGATTGGGAACTTCATTCAAACTATTTTATGAGACAAATAAACTTTCAAGAGACTCACGCAGGATGGAAAATGTTTTGTACTTTCCGTTCAGTAATTGTTCGTCTGCTGAACAGTACATCTCCGTCTAATTGTGTTTCAGATCATAAATATCACCATGGCAGCTCAGAAAAATCAGGAACAGCGGCTAGTGAGGCAGCCGGTGGACATAACTTTCACTGTGCGCGTCTCCAGGGGTTACCTGATGGGGTCAGAGGTCAGCAATGCCCTGATGAAGCTCACAATGGTGGAATTCAGCTATTACATGGGCTTTCCTGTACTGCAGATTGCTGAGCGTGAGTACCGCAGTGCAGTCTTTCTATATTTAAACTTCTTTCACTTCGTCATAAGTCACCTTTACTGTATTAACTCTTAAATCTTTTTTTTTTTTTAAAGCTTTCCATTATCCAGAGTTGAACACCAGCCACTTGCTTCGCTCCACCTGGGTTAGAACAGGTATCACGGTTTCACTTCTTGGCATAATTAAAGTTATCTCATCTACTTTAATTTAAAGGCTCCGTGTGCTGATACTCTGAATGATCTCTGTGCTCAGTGCTCATTGGTGTACTGGACCAGAAAGTGAGTGAGAGGACCTTCCAAGCCAACATGGAGCGCCGGGTGGCCATGCTCCTCGGAGAGGCAACGGGATTAATCAGACGCGTTAAGAGAGCCACCCTTATAGGCAACAGCAGTGTCCAGGTACTGTACAATTACATTTATTCAATACTATACTTAGCTGTTGTAGGGGGGGGGGGTGAGGTGACGTGCAACAACAACATTAACATTATCCTTTCTGTTGGTCGCTTGTGAGCAGACCCTTCACGCGTTGGCAGAGCAAACAGGTACAGCCAGGGCCGGACCGAGACAATAAGTCAGGCCGGAAATTATACACCCAGCCAGGCCACTACCAGTTTTTTTTTGTGCCATTTTGCTGGATTTATTTGTCAATATTTACAGTGTTGCTGCCCACAGTGATAGCCCCTATAGTTTAAATCTACTACCCTCAAACAAATATATGGACATGGGTTACTATTTAAATACAATTGTAAATGTATTTAGGAACCTGTCCATGTGATTTTAAGTCGGGGTGGACCTCAAATCCTCTAGGGGGGTCCGGGGGCATGTTCCCCCGGTAAGATTTTTTCTTTTAATTTTGGAGTTAAATGCATCAATCTGGTGCACTTTGAGGGGAAAATAAAGAGACTAGATCTATGGAAACACCCATAGGAAACAGAACTGTATACATTTCAATAATCATAAAATCATGGCCATAACCAATAACATACCATTTCCAATATGAAAAAACACTGAAACTTGTTTATTTATTTATTTTTGGCTCATTTATAGTTGTGAGTGTGTCTGTGCTCCTGAATCAGCCTCTCCTGTCTCCCTCCTCTCCCCCCTGCTCCTCTTTGAGGCAGCAGAAAAGACTAGTTTTGGCTCTCAACAAGTTTTAAAAGTGTATCTTACCTTTTTTCACCTAGGCAAGGAAAGGCAAGTTTATTTATATAGCACCTTTCAACACAAGGCAATTCAAAGTGCTTTACAACAAATGAAAGACATTAAGAAAATGGCATTTAAAATCAGTCATTTTTTTTTATTCATGCATATTTGACTAATCACCACCCCCTCAAATGTAAATATGTGTTTGAGACCCACTGAGAACTTAGACTAAGTTAACTATCTAAACACTCAGAGAGTCCTTTACCTCACATGAGCTGAGGTTATCCCGAGCTTGAATGACACAGAGAGACCAATCAAGGGCTTTGATTTATGATCTGTATGACAATGGCCATGTCGGCAGGCCACATCATGTAGACAGCCAGTCAACCTGTGTGAGGCAGACCCACATTTGCGCAGCGTTCACAATACATAAAGAAAAAAGAAAAAAAGAAACTTAAAAAAAAAAAAGAAACTTAATGGGTCACGAAATATACTTGGGCAACCGTTAATATACCTGCCAAGTAACGTCTATGTGTGGGAAACCCTGGAGCAGACTGGGCTCTGGTTTCAGACAGAGGGTGAAAAGAGGTGCTGCAGCACAGGCAGTATGAAAGAAATAAAGAGCTTTTTGAACCCAAAAGCATGTAAACATGTCACAGTAGAGGAACACAATACTAATATGCACCTGAAAATGAGGATAAGAGGGCCTATATTTCTATTTTAAAATATTGACTGATTATTAGGAAACTAAGTGAAACAAGTACCGTAATTTTCGGACTATAAGCCACGCCTTTTTCCCTATTTTTCGATGCTGCGGTTTATATAACGGTGCGGCTAATCTATGGATTTTTACAGCTAACGGCCAACACCTTTAACTCTATGGGCTCTATGGCCGGTCCGCGGACCCCCACCTTTAAGCGGCGGGTTCCAGCAGGAAAAGCTGGAGGCCGGAAAAGAGTGAGACAGGTAGCGCGCAAAAGTAAAAGTGGAACCGAGAGTGGTATGCCGCTGCTGCGGCTTATATTCAGGTGCGCCTTATAGTCCGAAAATTACGGTACATAAGTCCACTCTTACAGGCAGGCTCAACACTAAACCCTAAATTATTGTTCAGACAGTCATGGTAGTGTCTTTTCTTTGGAAATTACACAATATAAATTCCTTGTTTAATGTTGTGCTCATTCCACAACACTTGTAAACTCTCTTACAGGAAGTTTGTTAATGGATTAATCGCTAAATCTTGAAAAAGCTCCCTTCCTTGTGCCATTTATATCATCATGATTCCCTGATGCAAGCTCTCTAAGAACTGAGGGCTCATTATGTGAGTGCTGCAGCGTTTGAAACCTCCGAGCGCCCTACTGCTTTACTAATCAGTCACTAGCTTTTGTGGGTTCGCTCCACACCTGCTCGGCTCATCTCTGAGGGGACAGGATAGGGCTCTGTCTCCATAGCAACAGCATCCCATTCATCCCAGGGGCTGGCCACTCGAAAGACCACAACCTCTCGAGCCCCTTGTTTCTTTCTCCTCTTCCTCGTTTCTCCGGTCCTGTTACTTGAGCTGCTAAGAGCAGATCAATTATTTATTGTTGCTCTTTCTACTTCTGTATCCTGCAGTTGTGATGATTAAGAGTTGTTGTTGTTGTTGTTGTTGTTGTTGTTGTTGTTGTCAGGGTAGATATTATAGAGGGGGAGATACAAAAACAGATGAGGGTAAAATATTTAGAAATAAAAAGAGCCAGAAAAGCCAAACACTAAGAGAGAGGAGACTTGTTTTGGTAAGCGAGAGATGCGTAGTTGAGCTGACCTCATGAAGTCTGAGAAAATAGGGTGGTCTTCAAACAGGGGGGCTGTCAGAGTGATGAGGGTCAACCTTGGCTGAGTAGCTGCCTCACTCTTCCTGACCTTTTTGTCTCCTTAGTTGTTGTTTCCCCAAAACAGCTGATCATTTTATGTAAAAGAAAGGATTTGTATTGGTAGTAAACCTTTACTGTGTGTCTTTGTGGTAATATTAGATCTCTCATTTTAGGCTTTGGCATCCTTTTCAAATCATATATTTCCCAGTGATGAATATGTATCAGAGAAACAATACTATGTGTTTGTTTTCGTTCTATCCTATTTTACATTTCAAAGACACTCATCTGTAAGTGTCTGTTGCATATAATGAGAGTTCTGGTGACGTAGACTGAACATGTGAAGAATCCTTTGTCTCACTCTATTGCATGCACACACACACACACACACACACACACACACACACACACACACACACACACACACACACACACACACACACACACACACACACACACACAGAATAATCTGACAGTATCAGTGTGGTGTTGTCACCTATGAGTCTGCAGAGGCAGATAAAAGAGGAGCTTGGATCATGGGTTGTTCAATAACACACACATCCACGCTGCCGCCTTTCCACTCTAGTAACCATGCATGGGCTGGATTAGCCCCTGGATGAGAGGGCCTGCCCGAGCGCTTTTTCTGTGTCAGCCCAGCCATGATCCGCGCTTTACTCTTTCCAGTAATGCAGACAGGAGACTGTGCTGCGCCTCAGGGCACCCAGAGGGAGACCACACACACACGCACGCACGCACGCACGCACGCACACACACACACACACACACACACACACACACACACATATATGTCAATGAATACTCAAACAGGGATACAGAACGCAGGCTGGTATATCATGATTCTGCTTTTTTTTTATAATTTGTGTTTGTTTATTAGTGCAAGCAGATGTTTTTTGTACATCCAAATAATAGCAGCACATCATGCAAAAGGATATACAGACAAATACAATATGATATAAATAATACATTTGAATTATTTTGTCTGTACCTGAACGAAAAAGTTAATATAAATGGGCACTGTTTTTTCAAAGTAATTGTGTTTTTTCCTTAGTCCTTCGTGTTAGATTAAATGAAATTATTTCTAGGACCTTATGTCAAATCTTGTGACTGATAGTTTGAATGTCTTAAAAGACAAAGTCAATTGGAGTCTGATCTTATTTTGTTAAATATAAGCTAAATGATAACAATAAAACAAATCAGATAACTCCCTTGTCTAGTTTATAATAGATTTAAACTCAGGTATGGTTGCCAAATAGGAAATGCTGGTTATTGTCACAGAAAAAAAAAAAGAACTTTAAAGTTTGCCCTTGTGAGTGAGCCGTCACACTCTCCATTAAAAAGTCATATTTTTAATTGGAATAAGCACACTTGGGGCCTTCATCAGATATTCCATTGAGAGTGCAGTGCCTCATCTTTCATTACTGGAAGCTCTTTTCCAGTTGCTTGCTTGCAGCATGAATTGATCGTAAATGCTGCAGAGAGAAAATATTTACAATTTAACAAATGAGAATTTTAAAGTTAAAACAAGTTGCACAAGTAATGTTAATAATTATAGATTTGAACTGAAGCTCATCTAGTCTGCACCTTGTTGTGGATATATTAAGAAAGGATGAACCATGGTGGTAAAAGTGAATCAACAGACATATAAAGACCTTTAACTGAGGATTTAAAGCCTCTCCCTAAGTAATGTGAATAAGTAATACGATTTATTGAGTGTCCTTCAGACTTTTTCTACATCCGGATATGTTTATGTTTGGAAAATGACATAAGATGCCATAATATCTGCCAACAGTTTTAAAGAGTGGTGGAGTCACTAGTAGTCAGTAACCCTGATAATTGCCCCGTGTAAATGTATGACTGCCAAGTTACATAGCAACCTGGCATCCTTTCCACACACAAGACAATGTATCCTGAGGATTTTCTCCCACAAGAATCCACAATATACAGTGGACCTAAAGAAACGTTCCTCCATCATTTCACCAATTCATGCTTCTTGGTTTTTTATTATGGGAAACGGAATCACTTTGATCACTTACAGAAATATTCACACTCCAATATTATAATACAAACAACTCAGGAGCTGGTAACAGGGTTCAGAGATGGAATCAAGATTCAAAGGCTTCATTGTCATATGCACGGTGTAGTTTTTTGCAATAAAAATCCCTCGATCCTCAACAATGCAGCATACTATACTTAAGACATAAAAAAGTGCAAAAATAGTGAGAACAAAATATAAATAGAATGGGATAAACAGTATATAAAATAGATGACTGCACAGTATTATAAATACTGTATACTTGGCAACATCTTGTTTGGTGTAAGACATTTGTTAAATTAGATAATTGAAACTGTTATTGATTTAAAGGGATATGTACATCTTAAAAGAAAAAGAGGTAATTACACAAATGACACTACTTTCCTTCTCTTTCCCTTTCCCAGGTTGTTAGTGCGAGCCGGCTGGTGGGTGCGGACCATCCCTTGGAGATAGTGTACTTTGTGGAGGGTCCCAGTGGTGAGAGGATGCCTGCAGATCAAACAGCGGCCCTGCTCAACAGCCTGGACGTTCAAAGGGCCGCCATCGTCTTGGGATATCGCGTCCAGGGCATTTTGGCACAGCGTGAGTGTTTCTTGCATAGTAGATAAAGGCCGTTCCAAGGCAGCAGGGTGATGTGGTGATTACCAAGATGCCCCTTGACATGGAACATCTAAATCAAGCTTCCATGTCATGTCATGTCCGAACTGCCACTTTCCTGTGAGCTGGTATGGAGTTCAAATAAAGTTTGTCTGATGTTGTTTTGCTCTTTTTATGTGAATGACAAAGCCAATGGCCTTTTCAAGGACTAGTTGCACTTAACTGAGCTAAAGAGGAGTTTAAACAGAGGGATGCAAATGAAAGGAAAAAAAAGGATATCTTTTTCACAAGCTCCTTATAAATGATAAACATGCTAACTACTGGCTCCATGTGTTCCTCTGTGTGTATAGTCCCTTTTGAGCTAATTACCTCCCCCTGTACACGCTGTACCAAGAGGGATGAAGGACTAATGAGAGCCCCTCCAGGGAGTCCTGTCCCTGCGCATACTGTGTTCTTCTTTCCCAGGGGACCAAATGAGTGTTAATTAAAACTAATGAAGATCGGCATTAATGCAGCACGCCAACAATACTGCATGTTTAGCTTCTGTTGTTTAGCTTAGCATTCCCAAGTTTGTTTACAGGCTTAAAGGCAACAAAGCCATATGCCTAAACAATATTGAACCAATTAAAATGACTGCATATTTGGGTTGAATGCCGTAAAACCCCTCCTTCTCTTCCTCCATCTCTTGATCTGTAGCCATGGAGAAGGTGGCGTCCTCCCCCTCCGACGCTGAGAACACCAACACGTGGATCGTCATTGGCGTGGTGATTCCCCTCCTCGTGGTCATCGTCATCATTTCCATCCTGTACTGGAAACTGTGTCGCACAGACAAGCTGGAGTTCCAGCCAGACGCCATGACCTCCATCCAGCAGAGGCAGAAGGTAGAGTCCCACCAGGGTCTGACCTCAGGCCTGACTTCATCCTCTCAGGGTTTCACATTTTTCGCTTTAAGTTTGTTCTTGAAATATGAAATTTGACAGTAATTGGCCCTGCAGTCCCTTGATGGATAACATCATCAGGGTTGCACTTAAGGTGTTACAGAAGGTTAAAGGGGACCTGTCATGCAAAATGCACTTTGTGATGTCTTTTATACATACATATGCGTCCCCGGTGCTTCGGGGAACTCACGCAGCATCAGGAAATAAAACCCTCTCTCTTTTCCTCCGTACCCAAATCTTTTAAAAACGGGTGTACAACGAGCGGATACAGATTCCATCCGATCTGACGTCAAATCGGCAGCGGACCCACAGAAAGTTGCTATCAGAAACAATGCCTGACGTGTTTTGGATGTAATCTCGTCTTTGTTTACATTAGCAAGCCTCGCTAACACTCAGAGCTAACCTGTACTGTAGAGCGCATGTGTTTAAAAAGCAGGAAATAAAAAAAGGAACTCACCTTGTGATAAACCCTCCAGAGAAAAAGCATTTGAGCTGAGACTGCCAAGGCACACGAGGGGATAGGTTTTTTTCTTTCTTTCTCCTCGCCTCGATTACGGAAGTAGTCTTAAGATGCCTCTATTTCGAAATTTAAGACACACTAATTTTTGCGGTGGGACGAAATTTGGTGCAGTTCCTAATAAAGACTTTGTCATACCNACAGAATTTAACTTTATCTCCGGTAGAATTCTGATGAGGCATTAGCTCCGCCTCCTCTTCTTTCTTTTTTTTCAAGCTAAGGACCCGCGTTTCTCTAACAGGGCTTCAAAAGAGGGGTTTGAGCAGTATGAGGGGTGGCTTCAATGGGGGATCTGTTTGGTATTTTGAAAAAAATAGACATGTTTTGTATAGGTATGGCCCTACAATATATGTTTCAAATATAGCATGATAGGTCCACTTTAAGTTATGTAAACGGGCAAAACAGTTTCCCAAATATTACTGTGTTCCAAAAAGTTTTAAGGCCGCAGACAAAAAAAGCCAGGAAGAGGGAGCCAGTTTTAAATTCCCATGAACTGCTTGTTAATGAGGTGTATCTGTCATTGCCATGAATGTGCTGTAGGACTGCGCATAATCTGGACCTCATCATTCCTTCTTTTTGATAGGATGACTAAAATATTAATGAGAAGGAGACTTATTAGAGGACATGAGATGATTTGAAGTCATGATGCTCGTGCATGTGATGGGTCTTGGCTGATCTTTTATTTGATTTCAAGTGTTTTTGATGCTGTCTCCCATACTGATTTTGTCCTGATTTATTTTCAGTTTGTGATAGATACAAAACTTAACTTGAGATAGAATTGAAACCATTTGGCTGAGCAGGCGCTGTTTCCTGTCTTAGTATTTCCCCTCTCGTACTTTAAAGAATATGTCCTTTATGCCCTGAAGTTATTTAACACAAGAGAGACTTCCTCTTTTCTTTGAGGTCCCTCAAACTGAACCAAATGTTTCTATAAAATAATCAAATGACGACCTATATTCTTTTTGCTAAGAGCAAGTCAGTTAACTTTAAGAGAAACAGGGTCAAGTTTAGAACAGAATAGAGTGCCTTTATTTGTATTCACACATTGTGCAACAGAATGTGCCATGCAGCCTTTGAAACAGTGCATGTAACACTCCACAGATGCATGTAGGCTCGAACACGACACACACAGAGTAATCAAAATACATGATAAAAAATAGTAGTTGTGAATAAATACATATTTAAATAAATAAATAATCGTGACAATTAATAGAACAAATGAAGTCAATAAAGCCCTTACTTCTGCTTTTAAATATATGATTGCCTCTATACAGTTATTGCACATTCCTTTTTATAATATGCAATAACTGGTTATGTGAAACAATATTATATTTCATATTTAATATACTAGAAAAGCAACCCCCAAACAAGAGGTTTTAAAGCCCAGATTTCATGCAGTGTTATTTTTTCTATGTAAACGAAAAAAAATATCTGCAAATTCCTAATGTATGACGCAATACAAAGTAGCTTTTATTTTTGATTGAAACATTTATATCAAGGTCAAATGCATAGGTGTGTGACATCTCTACTGTGCTGCACTGCCACCAACAATACCAGAGGGACTGTGGTGCAGCAGTAACAGGAACCCATCCTGAGGAACAAACACCTGCTTAGCTTTTTCTCAGCTGGAAATAAGTGTGTCATATGTTAGGCTGCAACCAGCCTACTTGTGAGATGCTTGTGTGTTGCTTCTGCTTCCTGACTCCTTTCATTGTTCTGTCTGTGTCTGGCTTTCATTTCCCTCCTCTTCATGTGGAGCTGAGCTTTGAACTTCACTCTGTACATTGGGTTAATGTGATGAATCTAATGTGCAGATGTAACATTTAACACAATCATCTGTCACTTAACACCGCTCCCCTTCTCTCAGTCTACTACCTCATTCGGAGAATCAAAGACCCCGCTTCACCACACTCTCCCTCCGACTAAAAAGGATATAGAGCATAGTGAGGAGGAAGAGTGGGAGTATGAAGACGAAGAAGAGGAGTATGAAGAAGAAGAGGAGGAGGAGGAGGAGGAGGAGGAAGAGGTTAAAAGAGGGAAGGTACATAGCAGTGTCTGGTGCTTTAGAGAAGATGTAGAAGAGACCTAGTTTGTGTGTGTGTTTGCTGTCTGAGCAGCTGAAATGTTGTGCAGTTATATAAAGAACAACACTAGCTACTGTAATAGTTAGCAGAGTCTTTACATATGTTTGAAATACAGACAAGAATCATCACTGGAAATATTGATGATATCTACCATTGCTTCTGCTTAGACACCAGTAGCTCTCCCTAGACACAAACTGAGTATGAGCACTAAGGAGGAAGAAGAAGAAGAGGAAGAAGAAGAGGAAGAAGAGTGTGAGGAAAAAGAAGAAGAGGAGGACGAGTGTGAGGAAGAAGAAGAAGAAGAAGAAGAAGAAGAAGAAGAAGAAGAAGAAGAGGAGGATGACGAGGGGGAAGAAGAAGAAGAAGAAGATGAGAAAAAGCCGCAATTGAAAGCGAAAGCAGCAGATCAAAGAAGAGAAGAGAGCAAAGCAGTGCTAATGAAAACCGCAGAGACAAAGACAAAAGAAGACAAAAGGAAAGTGTTAACTCAAGGGAGGAGAGCCCAGGACGAGGTATATTGTTCCGTAGTGCTAGATGCTAGTGCTTGTGTGCGTTGATAGACAATAGGATCCTCCTGTACCCGGTTATGATGTCGAGACAGAAAACCCATTATTATACTGTGGATTTAGAAGTGGTGTGTTTATAGTATGTAGATCCTGACCGATCACTGCGTTGTGGACTAGTAATAACAGACTTCATTTTGCATCTGTAGACTGTTTGTTGGTTCCCTAATTTACTTTGAGACCCGAACCAAGCTGAGTACTGATTAGTGAGCGAGTGATATCGCTAGCTGTGTGTTTACATGTTGTTCTGCCAGAGTGGTCATTTTCAATTTAAGAGGCCCTTTTATGGTTTTGGGGGTTTTCCCTTTCCTGTAGTGTGTTATAAAGGTTTTCCTGCATGTAAATGGTCTGCTAAGGCTAAAATCCCAAAGTTCCCTCCCCCTGCCTGAAACACCTCGATTGGACTCGTTTGTTTACTTCTGTAACATAGTGACATCACTACGTAACGTCACTTTGTAAAACTTGCGCTTCTATTGGCTAATGGTCATGTTAATGGGATGCATCGAACGCTCTAACACATTGTACTTGATAGGCTTAGGGGCGGGACATCTCTAAGCGTTTGACCAATCACAACAGAGCCAGCCAGCTAACCAATCAGAGCAGACTGGGCTCTGGTTTCAGACAGAGGGTGAACTTTAAAGCACAGTTGAGGCACAAAATACAAATATGAACCTGAACATTTGCATAACATGTTCTCTTGAACAGCTTCTACTGCAGTGTTTTCAGCGCTTTACTTAAGACTTGTTTATATGCCGTAGAGAGCACAAACATAACACATTCACACACTCTCTGTCTCCCTGCCAGGATTAGCAGTTTCATACTGGCAAGCTTCAACCTAGATTAGCAGTTGTATACCAACAAGTCTCTGCTAAGCCAGACATTTTGCGTGAATAAACTCAGCGAGTTTACGTCTAATTCAGAGCATTAACGGGAACACTTCACGTCACTCCTCTGCTCTCTGGTATACACATCTCAGTGTCACAAACTGCAAGCACACATACCGGGGTCTGACATCCTCTGTTTACTCTATGGCTGTTGGAGTCCCGAGGGCTTTCCACTCTGATAGTCTCTCTGATTCCATCGTCAGCCTTAATCCCCCTCCACCAACTCCATGGAAAGGAAGCAGCCCAGTGTTTCCCCCAGTGTTTCTCAATCCCTGTTTCTCAATTTATTTTTCTCTATTCATTAATGTCTTGTCCTTTCTGAGTCATCCAGTCTAATTGTGTACTCAAAACTTCATCTGAACCCGTATTTTCTTCATATTTGCTACAAAATATATATATATATATTATAAACAATTAATATACTGTCTGTATGGCAGTGTATTAATACCTTTATATTTCCATTCCCTAATATTTCCTCTCGCTCTCCTTCTCCTCAGTTGCAGGCTCCCAGTGTGAAAGGCTTCGACTTTGCCAAGCTGCACCTTGGCCAGCAGAGTAAGGATGATGTCATGGTGATCCAGGAGGCGGTCCAGCCAGGGCCCGGCCCCGGACCCCTCCCCTTATGCTTTAAAGATGGCTTCAGTCCGTCTGAAAATGGGGAGATCCCCACACCTTTATCCAAAGCCTCCACCAAGGCGTCACGCAGCAGCAGAAGGCGAGATAGGTCAGTGCTGCAGAGCGACTAAAAAACGGTCAAAACTAGTCCAAATAAATGTCCAGAAATAAGGACATTAAATGACTTCAGTTTATGTCTGCGTAGGTTGTGCTGTCATGGGTTACGTGCAAAACAAAAGGGTAAAAAATAGTCTCTAAATAGGCATTACCAGCCTTTTATCGTGTAGTATTTTCTCTTCTCCTGGTCAAAAACTTGTTTTAATCAAAGAAATGTGTTTGGGTTTTAGTTCTCCTCCCTATAACGGTGTGTATTTACACATTTAACAGCTTCTTTTTTCACTCTGGTTTTCTACCTTCCTCAGTTGGGACAGTCAGTCAAGCAGACAAAAAGCTTCTGACGGATCCTCAGATCAATTATTAATGCACCAGACATTAAGGGTCCGTCATTCATACATACTCGGGTTTTACGTTTTTGTAACTTTAGTTATAACACTAATTGCATCGCTTAAGAGATGACACCAACTCAGTAGCATATTGTTTAATGCATTTCTTAACTTAAGTTGCTATTAAAGTCCATTACAGTAATCTGTTTTATGGTGAGGATTTAATAACGGTTGTTCCTCTTCTCTTGATAGCCAACCAGGACAAATGTTATAATTATCTCAGTGGAAACACTTTCCAGCATGCAGCACGACAAACTTAAAACCAAATGAGCATTTCCTAGAAGTCTCTTCCGCTTTTTTCTTTCTGAAAAAGCACTATTCACAATTATGCATGGGTATTTCCGCATGTTAGTGTATTCCCAGGCTTGTATTATTCATGTTACTATGTGTGTTTGTAGGATCTCTCCTTCTGACGGGGACTCGGTGGTAAGTGACCACTCCAGTGAGCGTGAATCGACAGAGGAGAACCTGAGAGCGCACGCCACGCCCAGCGACAGAAAGCAGACGCATAAGCTCCCCATCAATGTTTTAAATGGCAAGTAGTAGCCGTGGCAACACTCTCATCACTCCTCCAAACACAGAGAGCACACACGAGGGGGGGAAGGGGACGGAGGAAAGGATTGGGCGGACAAAAAGAGAGCAACTCAAGCTGGCCTGATTTGATTGACATGCGGGGCAGATAGAGGGCAGGGGTCACTCTCTGAAGAGGTGGGGAAAAAAAGACGCAGAGGGGAAAGTGCGGCGACGAGCCAAGCAATGACATCAAAATGAACAGTGGGGGTAAAAACAACACTTGGTGGGAACTCTAGTTGGTGGTCAAAAGAAGTCCAAAAAGAGGAGGCAGAGAGGGATAGGCGGGGGAAACCCAGATGAAGTTACTCCATGTGACAGCTTGTTGATAGACTCAAGCCTGCGATGCCAGTCAGAGACTAGGAGCTGGAGCCGGAGGCAGTCAGGCACACAGACTCCAGCCTGACTCACTCACAGAGGAATGGTCTCTGTTTTGTTATTGATAAATCTCCGCCCGGCGCTGTATATGCTCTGCCACAGTGTTCATAAGGAGGCTGCGTATGAGACACACTCAGTGGTATGTAATGTCTCTTCCTGTCAGTGGATCCGGGTGTTTCTGATCCTCTGAAGCAGCTCTTTCCCTTCCTTTCCCTTCTTTCTGATTAATGAACTTCACAAGACCAGAAGCTTTTATTAGCCGCAGAGATTCATCCTCCTAGATGACTCACTTGCCCCGTCCCTCTTTAGAACGTCTGCTTCTCCTCTTTTTTCTCTTCATTTGTTCAAGTTGAAACAGCTCTCATGGTGGGCAGACCTCAATTCATAAGGCTTTTTTTATGTTTATTGCTACAAACCACTTCTATCTCAGCTGCTTTTATTTGATCTCCCTCTCCTCTATACAACTCTTTTGTTCCCTCTCTGCTGCGGTTTGCAGGCAAGAATAGAATTGGTAAGAGTTTGTCCTCTCTGTCTGCGTCCCTGCAGTCCTCAGGCGTGACCTCCAGCAGCTGTGTCTGTGCTGTCTGTTTGTTTCTGTGCTAGATTCCTGCCCCGCTATCCATCACTGTCTGCTCAGCTGTCCGTCACAGTGTAGAGACCAACTTCACCAACAAAGGGAAAGTCCTTGTTTGGAATGAGGTTTAGCTTTTCTAAATACTAATCAGTCTTCATTTCATTTCAACACCAGAAACATTTAATCCACACTAGAAACAAAGTTTTCATTCCAATTCTTACGCAGTAGTTGTCTGTGTTTAGTCCCCTGGTTTAAGTCCCCATTAGCATTCGGACTGACCGTGTTTCCTAAGATTTGACCTTTACTTTCATGCTTCCTTCCTCAGGTCCTCCTCCTATGAATGGCACAAACGAGCAGCTGTCCTCGGCCGCCATCTTTGAACACGTCGATCGGATGTCTCGCACAGCAGATGCAAGCAGAAGACTCCCCAACAAAATCCAGCTCATCGCCATGCAGCCCATGGCCCTCCCCCCACTGCGCAGCCCCCCCATCAACGGCAAACTGTCCGACCCAAACCAAATCAACAAAGAGGTTTGCTCTTCTTTTTTGGCATAAACTTATCTTGATGAAAGAATCCAAAAGTATAAACATTAACATTGTTATCGATGGTACTGAAGACACATGTTAAATACATGTTAAACCAGAGTGAACAGACCACTAAAAAGTAGGCAACACTGTCTTCTGGTCTTTCTTCTTTATTAGATAGAAAAAATGACATTATTTTGAACCCCAAATTGGCTCCTTGTAAAGTACAGATGAATCAAAGACTTCAATGACTGTCATCGGTTTGATAAAGAAAACCTAATGGGAGCAGATGTCATCGCTCCAATTCCTTTAGAATATATCATTCCCTAATTTACTGGTTGAAATGGACATAACATTATTCATCCTCTGATGCTGCTGTAGTTCTTGTGATTCTGTGTAATGTATGTACGCATGAACAATCGTCTAGCTGCTTGTTAAAGTCGTAACTCATCTACTATGAGTCTTAATTGTGCCTATTTTGAGAATGCCGTCTAAAGAGGTAATTGTGTCCTCAGATCCAGGTGGCACTGAGGCAAAAGTCCGAAATTGAGCACCATCGTAACAAGATCCGTCTGCGTGCCAAGAGGAAGGGCCACTATGACTTCCCTACCATGGATGAATCCACGAATGGCCACGGAGATGCTAAGGACCAGGATCGCATCTATCAGAAAGCTCAGACCCAGATCGATAAGATCCTGGACCCTGATGCCCAGACGCCCTCCTTCTTCATGGACTCAAAGAGAAGGTTTGGCTCATGGCACTTATTTAGTTCTATGGTGGAAAAGTTGATCTTGATTTGGAGGACATTTTACATCCGGCGTGGCTTTCATGAATGGAATAATACTCATTCAATAGATTCATTTATATTTGTCCATTTATCTGTCAGTGGTCGAGGGAGGCGCTCGCCCAAACAGAGGATGAAGGAGCAGCTGATCGGAGGCATGATGGAGGCAGACAAAGACCACCTCATCTCTGAAGACAATGATGCTGTGTACAGGAAGTGTCCTGGAGTCAACAATGTGGCCTACATAGTGAGTAGAACAGGAACACTTGTGTTTTTTTATCAGATAATGAAGATGAAATAAAATATCATGTAAAATAAGTTTGACTAAAATGACGGAAGAGCAAGAAAGGACAATTGACAAAGGACTAAACAAAAAACTAGCTGAAAAAATGTAAAGAAAAAAACATTTAGATGAATAGAATGGACTAAAAGTTGACTAAAAGTAAAAAACTGCGTCAACTTAATCTGGACTAAAACGAAGGATAGAAACGACCTAAATGTGACGTTAGCATTTTCCTCCAAAAAGGTATTACTGAGATGAAATATAAAATAGCTGCCAAAATGGACACTGCATGGGAATCACCGCATGTGTACAATCCTACACCAACCCTAGACCCCTCTAACTGTCCGCAAATGTGTGTGTTGCAGTCGGACCCTGACCAAGGCCCAGGCTCCCCTCACAGCAGCTCCTCCCCCACCGATGACGTGTTCCTCGGCCCTGTTTGCTCTCCACCGGGACATGCCCCTCCCCCGCCCCCCTACATGCCTCCACAGCCCTCCATCGAGGAGGCGCGGCAGCAGATGCACTCCCTGCTGGACGATGCCTTCGCCCTGGTGTCGCCCACCTCTCAGGGCAGCACGGCAGGCATCACTCTGCCCGGAGTCAACAGCAACCCCCCCCTCTCCAGCCCCCCAGGCAGGGGCCCCAGACCGTGGGGTCCGTCCTACCAAGCTCATGGCCCTTTCCCTGGTGTAAGTTACAGGATATTAACAGGATATTAACCATTCAGTCAACGTGAAATAATACTGAGTTCCTGTAGCACTGAACCAAATGATGTGTTAGCACCAGAGATTTAGCTTCTTTTTGCTAAATCAAGTATTGGTGAAAGGTTACTTAGAGAAATAACCTCCCCCTTTAAACTTTTTCTATAAAAATAGTAAAAGACTTAATAGACACATCTAAAATCATCTGTATTCACTCTCCTTCCTTTCCCAAGGTTTGTTCAGCTCAGCATGAAGCCTATAGCTTCAACTTTAATCGTGTCCTCTTAGCAAACTAATCAGTTAAGTATTCCTCCATCTGTCACCCCCATGAAGCTGCGACCTTACAACCCCCGTCAGCTTTCTACAACTCCTAAGTCTCTTCAGGAATATACGCTCACTCTGCATAGCCCCCCTCTCTGCAGGCTGCTTTCAAAGACCGTACAGTCATACAAACCGCCTGAAGGCTGCTGGAATAATAATAATAATAATAATCCTCAGTGTTTGTATTTGTTTTTATTCTTTAACTGTCGTAATTATTGAAGAGAACAAATCAGCACAATACAAAGGCCGGTTTATGCAGCGCTGCGGTTTATTAGCACGCTTAGCCTGGAGTCCATAATACTGCACGTGTGCCGCACTCAGTTAATAGTGTTTTATGTTATGGGTGGAGCTGCCAAGAGACAGCATGGATCTGTAGCATATCCCCTGCTTTGGAATCTAAGCTAAGGAGTAGCTTAAAACTGAGCTGAAATGAAAATAGGATGTTCAGTGCCATCAGGCACTAAATTCTGAAGGTAAAAAATGATGAGTTTTTTTTTAGAGATGGTAAAGTGTTATATTAGCTTTACATAAAGGTTGAGGCCCATGAAATCACAACAACTAGAGCAGTAAAACGTTTGCAAAACCTTTAATGAAAAAACAGAAGTGGTTGAATGTAATGAGGTATATTTATTAGTTACAATTTTAAAGTGACTTGTACTTTACTTAAGTATTTTCATTTTATGTTACTTTATGCTAAGGTAATTACCAGCTCCAACTTCACAAGCTGTTGAGACATTAATGCACCAACAGTCACAGTCTCGTAATGTAATAAATATCATTATGTACAACAAGTTGTTTTACTCTGAGTACTTTAGGTATATTTTGAAGCCAATACTTTTGTACTTTTCAATTTGATATTGCTACTTTTACTCAAGCTTAAAATCTTAGTACTTCTTCCACCACAGAAAAACAGAAGTGTAGTATTTCATAGTTATGATGTTTAATAGTTATAAAACAAAACACTTCCCTATTCAGCCACACCTTACAAATCACTATGGTGGAAGTGCCTCATTTGCGTTCTTAGAATTCCTTCTTTAATGCATTTCACAGCTTTCAACGTACTGTACATGAATCACTGCTCTGCCTCTGATGGTCCAACACCGTGTTCATCCCCAGGTGACACGTATAGTGAGAGACTTCACTTTACAGTGATCAGTGGAGCCGTGAAAAGCCTTTTGCAGGTTCACTGCTTTAAGATGCTATAAAAGGTCAGCTGAGAAGAAAAGAAGGATATCCAACAAGAGCATGCTTAGTAAAAACAACAATGTTTTCTACAGTGTAAGAAAATAACTTTCACTGCGTTGCAGAAAACAAGCTCTCTTTGCTTTTATTGCAATATTTTTGATCAGCTACAAGATGCAGCCTTCGATGTACATCCTTTATGAATATTTTATGAGTTGATTGTATTTGAGAGCCACAAAGACCTTTTTCCGTTTTTACCATTATAATTGTGACTGTCTCCTAAGCACTGTGCTTCTTCCCTTGTTTCCCCAGAGGTTCACTGATCTGTCCCCTCCTCCAATCCAAGGCCTGATATCCAGGTTAGTAGAGTGGAGCATGGAAATGAAGTATTCATGTATACATTAATAAATAAAATGCTTATGTGATGTTAAGTTCCTCCTTCACCAGAGGGATTCCTTATTGATCAGAACAGACTGACTTTAAGCACTTCAGCCGGGGCAATGTTTTCCTCCCACTAAGTTGGGCCTCATGAATAGTGAAAGAGGAGTCATCTCTACTTTATAGGATTAATGGATCAGGTACAAGCAGTGGTCCCTGAACTACTCCGAGACCCCATGTGGTCAAACTAATTATCACCTCCGGAAATGTGAGCACAGTGGAGCTGAAATGTCATCAGCTGTCAGCCGCTCATGGTGGTAGATTGTGAAAAAGTTAAGACTATATCAGAGTCGAAATTATGTGTATTGCCAGCTAGGACTTTACATGTACATACAGGGATTTTGCTTTGTGTATAACCACATCAAAACTGAAAGAGAAAATAAAGTCAAAAGCAAATATAGAAATGTTATAAAACTATTTTGAAACCAGAAGAATGTGTACAAGAAATGTGAATATACAAACAAGTCAAATAAGTATATAAAACACCTGAATCTCCCTACAGGGATCAATAAAGGTTGATCTTATCTTATATGACATAATACTGTAACATATTTACTTTTTAAGTGGAAGACCTTTTCAGATTTAAAGTTGTCTAGGGAGATGCATGAGCTAAGTGCAATGTTAAGTGATATTTTGTAATAGATGCGCTCAAAAACGTCCGTAAAATCCTGATGAGTTTCGAGGCTGTTGTTTGCATCACATAGATCCGTCCTCGCTCTTTGGGACACATGTATTGTGCAATATCATCAAGTGTTAGTATGCTTCCAAATAAGTGTTCCTTCCTCTGGACAGGCTTTATTCATTTGGCAGTATGTGCTGACATTTGAGTATTGTTTTTGATTTGTTATCAAATAAATAAATGTCTCTGAGTAGCCTGAGTCGGACATGACGTGGCTGGTTCCATGTTGTTGAACAAAACACCCTTTAGTGCTGGAAAATGTTCTTATATCTCCCTTCTGGAATGAGAAGCACTGACATGACCGTACAACCTGAAGCCTGTTTACCAGCGGTGAAAGTGCTGTCAGATTCAAAATGATTGATGTGAAACCCCAAGGAAACATTGAGCTTTATCGAGCAGTTTAAAACATTTGCTGCAATTATTAATTATCTATAATGTGTTAGATTATTTTGAAGAATCTCAACAATTAAGAAAAGGTAAACACACATTTTAAAGTCTTTTTTAACCTCTGACAAGAATCTGTAACAGTGGAGTTTCTGGACCTCTATACATACGTATTGCCTCTACTTGTGTTGAGTTAGACACAGGCTTTCCTTATCATGAAATATGAAATATGAAATTGAAGCTGAGTAGAATTCCAATAAATCTGTCACAACACGTTTCATTAAATCACAACAATATGTCCCTTGTTTTCAGGCAGGGTCTTGGCTCCAGCTACCTGCCACCAGGAGACACAGCAGGGCAGTGTGAGCCGCCCCCCCCCGACAGCCTGTACTCCAGCAGGGGCCTCTACGCCGCCGAGCTGCCCTCATCTGCCAGACCCCGACCAGTGGGGGGGGGGTCCACAGGTACAGGTGGAAAATGCACATACACACAAACTGCTCAGGTTCATGCCTTGAACATTCGATTGGATTCAGATGTAAAGAAAGCACCCATGGTGTACATCTGTCTAAACCTCAAAGACTTTAGGAACCAATGCTTAAAGGTTGAGAAATGTATAGATTGTTTTATTTCATCACTTCTGGATGTGGGCCACAGAGCTGTTCCCTAATACAAACGCATACTTCCGTCCCATAAACCTGTCAAAACGCCTTGTCTCTGTCTTAAATTATTAAAGGAGCCGGCGTGATGCTGCTGCCATCATGTGACTTACGCTCAGAGAAATGGATTCTGGCATTGAGCAGAGACACGGAGTGCTTTCAAACTGTAGTGATTGCATCAAAGTATATTAAAGGGGCTGCTGAGAATTGAGTGTCTGGTTGTGTTGCTCTGACATTGTGTGTGTGTGTGTGTGTGTGTGTGGGGGGGTGTGTGTGTGTGTGTGTGTGTGTGTGTGTGTGTGTGTGTGTGTGTGTGTGTGTGTGTGTGTGTGTGTGTGTGTGTGTGTGTGTGTGTGTGTGTGTGTGTGTGTGTGTGTGTGTGTGTGTGTGTGTGTGGGGGTGTGTGGGGGTGTGTGTGTGTGTGTAGGCGCCCAGCTCCATCATCTCACACAGGTGGGATTGTCCAGTCGGATGAATGGTTACCCAGCGGGGGTCAGGCCCGCTCCAGGGCAGAACGGAGGCCTCGGCTGGAACCATTACCATGGCGACAATTACTCCAGGGCAGAGCCTGAGAAAGATTCAGTGAGTACATCACAAATGTGTTTCTGTTAATACCGAGGTCTTGTCTTCTATCCATATCATACTGAAATAAAATGTTTGTTTAATGTCAACAACTCCCAGAAAAAGATGAAAAATCAACAGTGAACTGTTTCTAAGAACTATTGTTGTCTGTGTACTCAACGTCTGTGTATAGCGTATTCCTCTGTGCTGTAAAACCTCCATGTTTGTTCAGAAATATGACAAACACGGCAAGTTTCACTGTTGCATTGCGGCCATCTTTTTTCAACATGAACATAGGTACTGTAGTCTATTTTAAGTCAATCCCACATACATTGCCCTATTGATGTCAATTCTCTAGACTACAGCACCAAATGTGTATCACGCCACTAAAGAAAGTAGTCCTGAACAAGTGCTCTATCAGTTTTAAGTAGCGTTTGTTAGAAAACTGTAAAACCCATACATTTTAGGAAATAATGAAGCTTCTATGAACATTTTGATTTGAGTGTTTAACCCCATTAAATAAATAAGGGGAAGAAAGTTTGAAGTGTCTGTTTTTTAAAGTCTATTCTTCTAGTTCTCTCTTCTCTCACACTCTAGTTCTGTCTCTTGATATTTTCTTCTTCAATTTCCCCTCTTTCTCTTCTCTTCATCCTTCCTTCCTCATCTTCAGTTCCTGGACTGTCCTGACTACACGTCCTGCTCTATCTTCCAGACGCCCAGAGGTGTCATCAGGGAGCCCTCGGCGCCCCCTGCCCACCTGGACATCTCGGGGACGGGCTACCTGTCAGCGCCCCTGAATACGTCTCCTCCTAACCACTCCTCCGCCTCCCTGATCAAGGCCATCAGGGAGGAGCTGCTGCGCCTCTCCCAGAAGCAGGCCGCCGCGCCCAGCTACCAGAGCTGAGCCTCCCGTCTGCAGCTCCACCAGTCACGCCACTGACCCCCCCCGCCCCCGCCCCCGCCTGCTCCGCCTCACCTGACAATACTTCCCATGGAAGTTCCCGAGGGTGTACAGCAGAGAGATAGTCCTGCTAAACTGAAGTAGGGATTTCTCACTGAAGAACTGAATGACAGGATTGTTGACACGGCTCCTAAAGAAATAGGACTACACAATCAGATAAACAGCAGTATGTCAAATCAGAGACAGTGTTATGAAGTGAACAATATGCTGGAACTTTCAAATGAGATGGCGTGTGTGTCCTGCTCCTGATCATGTCGAATCCTGGCCTCTGTGGATCCACATCCTGGACTTTGTTCAGATGTTGCCTAATTCCTTCTGACTCAGTATTCTGTCACAGTTTCGTTCTCATGCTGCCTTCACTATACAGGATAACCCTTAAGACAGTGGTTCCCAAACCTTTTTTCTATCATTGAGTATTCTGACGACCCCTGACTAAGTGACAATAGTATTTTGGACATTTCAAGTTATATTAATCGCGCATAATAATTACAGTATGGAACAATTGTACAATTAGTTAAAAGTGAAAGCAATATCAGCAGGAAGTGAGTGTTGAACAAGTGTGAATATTGCCTCCGAGATGAGCTTTCCTGCTGGTTTTAGGAACGTTTAATACAATTCTCTGTATTATGTATTTCTTGGAATCATGCATACTTGGTTAGCTTCCTTTTTTTGGACAAATTCAGTATTTTCTTAGTCCCTGGTTGTTTTAACTGCCTAGTTTATTCATTAATTACGCTGTTTAGCAGAGGAAGAGGAAAGGCACATCTAACAATAACAATTTGATTTATTTTTGGCACAGAAATGAATGAAAAGCAGAGATACAGGCCAACTGTAGTTGAATTTAAAGTTGCTTTGTTAAGCTTTGGCGACCCCTAGTGGGGGACCCATGCACAAAGACACAGTGTCATTTGAAGGATTTCTTTCTTTTCTTAACCTACCATACAGGTATTTTGTTGTTTACCAAATCCAGGTCCTTAACCTCTTTATCACCATCGTGTACTACTTCCTGATTTCTGCCACAATGAGCCATTCTATGCCTTGACACTGTGATGTAGTTCAACGACTGTATGATCTACAGTAGGGTCAGAGATCACAGCCAGTTCAGGCAGGGCGCCTATAGAGACTAATGACACTCAGTAACACTATGTCGTTTTTACATACTTACTACAGTAGCACGATAGCAGTAGAGTTAGTCTGAGGTGATCTTTTTGGACTTACAGTACATAACTAGTTTGTTGTGAACAGCTTTCAATCATGTTCCTTGCTTTTATTTATACTTAACAGCTACACAAACATGGAAAGAAATGGCGTTGAATTTGGAGCTACAGGCACACGTGTAACACATCATGAATATAGACTTTCAGTATGTATCGACTGTTAGGGTGTAATGATGTATTTGGTTGTCGTTGGATGCACTGTATGCAGACTACTGGGTACAGCTCAGGTTGTTCAAATTGAGATTTGCTTGCAGACAAATCAGCGACGGGACACTTTGAAGAGTCACATTGAAGAACTGTTAATGAGGGACTTTCACAGAGACTTGTGGTGTGTTTTTACATGAACCTGTATTTACTATTTACTGAACCACATCTCTGGTTCATGCAGTATTTAACGTTTGCCTTTTTGTTAGCACAGGAAGCAGACGAGTACTGTATTTTGTTTTCATGTATGGTTTACCCCAACCAGTCCTGTTTGTGTGCTTTTCACATTTCTTTGGATTCTTTGATCTTGCCTCATGCCATTTTGTTCACCTCAATGTCTCTTAGTCATCGTACTGGTTGGAAATAATTACATTTTTTTTTTTTACAAAACCCTCCCCTGACATTTTGTGATGTTTTGGGGCTTGAAGTGATATTTTATTTAAATAAAATGATGGAAATGATGGATTTTAAAAGCAGGGCTTTAGATTTATTTTTTCAAAGTGTGTACCATATTTTGTGCTCGATTACAATTCTTCTGGCATGACTTGAAATACTCTACAGTTTTCTACTTTCCACCCTTTTTTGTTTGAAATGTGATGTGCCTTTTGGACTCACCTTAACAGAATAAGTACATCATTTATTTCCCTAGATACTTTCCAAGGTCTTGTGATTACCAGCCTTGATTACATTTGATTTTAAATACATTAAGATAACATTTCATCCAGTTAATGCTGCATTTTCCGTGCATGGAGTTTCCTCTGATATGCAGGGAGATGGACAGTTTTTCATTTCACCTCTTCTGTTTGACGTCACCAACCTCACACTGTATGCCTCAACCTGCTGGTTCTGTACTGTAACAACAGCTCCTCCACTTGTTCACCTTCAGTTCTTTTTTTATAACTATTATTTTTGTTGGTGTTGTTGTTTTTTCATCTATTTCTACATTGTGTATATTGTGAGTGGTATCTGTTGGCTGGCCCAACTTCACGTCTGATTGATGTTGCATGCTTATTATTGTATTTCTTTGGTTTGTTTTGCCGCATGCTGTTCCAAAATGTCTTGAAATACAAAAGAAACTTGTCACCTGACATGTCCTCTGATTTTAAGTACTCTACTACAAGTCGATTTAATGTTGATTTATATTTGTTATTAATTTGTTCTCACATATCACCATTACATTAGTTGACCTACCAGTGGCACCAGCATATTGTAATTCATTGATTAGTATATTGATTTGAAGCCTAATATGCACACATCATATTTCAGGTCAGCCATTCATTCTGTACAAAAGCACTATTGCAGGTGTTGTACTTACCACAAACAACCAGAAGGTGTCACTACAACACAAGAAAATCCACTTTATTCACAACAAAGACGGCTCCTTTGGCTGCGGATGATGTCACCATCTCCTGAGCATCTCTGTAAGTCTCTGAAAAAGCACTATTATGTACTGTTTCTCACTATTACAGGAACTGTGATAATCTCTCAGAATAATGAAGGGTAATGTGTTCCTTTTTATTTATTTTAAATAGGGTTTGGCGGGTGAATGATTCCATGTTGATCAGTAATGCTTATGTTATACATTGGGTATGATATGATGTGTTTCTTATGATAATTAGTCAGAAAATGCAAAAATAGGAACAGTTAGATGGCAATAACACGCATTATAAATGTAAATAAATAAGCACGTTAAGTAAAATGTGCTCTGTTACCGAACACAAGGCAGCATTTTCCCCAAACTAAGATACTTTGTTGTCAATCAATGTGATTAGAAGTCCTGTATTGAGTTTATGCTTCCGCTGAAGGAATACTTCCTGTTTCTCTATATTGAGTTCTATCTCATCCCATCAGACGTCTCCCCTCTAATCCCATCACAGGATCCAAAACCACTGAATGTAGCAGCTAAACGGTCAGCAAAGCTCCTCCGCTCACTCTGCAGGGGGGGGGCTGCTTTGCACTCAGTAATGACAGCGCACTGCTTTTCACTTCCTGATTGTGTTTATATTGCCTTTAAATCAGAGAGCTTAATCTGGTGTGTGTTTAAACGACGAGAACTGTCAGTGCTAAGCTATTTAACTCTGGTTTCTTCTATGAGAATCCTGCGTGTGGGCCCAAAAGCTAAAGATGCTATTTAACATCGTTTTGACATGTTATCATCTATATGGTAAATCAGTGTAATTCCATAGCATCTTTGATACCAGGCTTTATCATCCCCTATAGAAATTCTGCTCATTTAAACTACATTTAATTGATTTATTACACTCTGCATACCATAAATGTTTCTTAAATGTGACGTGCCGTGTTGTGTCTGTCCAGATGCACTCCTGCTGTTAGCTCAGTGTCTTTTTCTCCTTCTGTCTTTATCGTGTCTCCTGCAGGGCTTAAGAGTGTGCCATCCTGCCTGTCTGCCTGCCCCTGGCCCTCCTTGTGGGGTCTAACATCCCCACACACACTCACACTTACACACACACACACACACACACACACACACACACACACACACACACACACACACACACACACACACACACACACACACACACACACACACACACACACACACACACACACACACACACACACACACACAGTAATCCTGCCTGTGTGTTGTCCCGGCCCAGCGTAGCACAACAAGAGCACACCCAGGAGTTAATCTGGATCATGAAGGTAATTACTGTCCTGGTGCCCAGCCTCAGAAGGGTGCAGGGGGTGGAGAGGGGGGGG